TAACATTCGTCTCACTCTAAATGTTATTCAAGACGCCAATTTACATTCCAAAGAGGTTCTGTTGATGAGTTTGGATATAAACAAGGCCTTTGATAGTGTTCTTTGGCCCTACTTGTTCTCCTTGCTACAGAAAATGGGCTTTAGTGAGGGGTTTTTGGCAGGCATACATGCCCTGTATGACTCTCCTAAAACGAGAATTAGGCTTCCTGGCTGTAACTCTGACTTCTTTACATTGGGTAGAGGTACCCGCCAGGGCTGTCCTCTTTCACCCCTTTTATTTGCGCTGGTGTTGGAACCTTTGGCATTGGCGATTAAATCACATTCGGATATTTCTGGCTATTCATTATTAGTTTCACATTTTAAATTGAGCATGTATGCTGATGATGTTATGCTTTTTATTACTAACCCGTTGACTTCTTTACCTAACTTGTGTGCTGTATTGAACGATTTTGCCAAAGTGTCAGGTCTCACCGTTAATTTTACCAAATCTGTGGTCATGCCTGTTAATGTTCCTGACTCCCTAAGTGCATCTCTCCGTAGTTCTTTCCCATTTCGCTGGGTCAAGGACAGGATATCCTATCTGGGGATTAACCTCACTCCCAGATACTCGGATATATTTGCGGGCTAATTATCCACCATGTGTATCGCGTCTCTCTACTCTACTGAAGATCTGGCACGGTTATCATATCTCCTTTCTGGGTAGAGTCACGGCGGTTAAAATGAATATTTTACCCAAATTGCTTTATCTTTTTAGAGCACTTCCAGTTCCGGTCTCAAAAACCTTTTTGGATCATTTTCAGCGGACTATTAATAATTTTATTTGGGGAAATAAGCATCCACGTTTTGCCTCATCCATTTTGTATCGCTCACAACGGTCGGGAGGTCTCGGTCTTCCTAACTTTTGGCTATATTATCTCTCGGCTCGTTTTGCGCAATTGTCACAATGGGCTACTATTAACTCTCAAATCCCGTGGATCAAGTTTGAGTCTCAGTCGATACGTCCTTTTTATTTACCGGGAATTTTATGGTCTAACATCTCCCCCCGATCGACTGTTTTTCATAACTCCATAGTGACTCACTCACTGACGCTTTGGTCCAAACACAAATCTAAATTGGGTTTAGTCTCTTCTATTCCCCCAGGTGTGTCATTTTTTGGGGATCCTACTTTTGTTGTAGCCTTTTCTTCCCCTCATATGTTTCGTTGGTGGTATGATCGATCTTTTATCAGATTATCTGATTTCCAAAGAGGAGGATCTTATATTACCTTTGATATGCTGCGCGTGTTGTTTGATGTTCCTCTTCGTGAGTACCTTCGTTATAGACAGATTAGGCACTTTTTTAAGGCGCACTTTGGCCTTACCCCATCCTCTCCGATTTCCTTTTTTGAACGTATCAGCCGTGACTCTCCCAGGGGTAGGGGTCTTATCTCAAATCTTTATCACCAATTTTTGATCTGTCTTTTTCATGCTCCCCCTTTGTACAGACGAAAATGGGAGGAGGATTGTGGCGTCACTTTTTCGGATGAGGATTGGGATTCCATGGTGGATAATATATGCAAGAGCTCTAGATCTCTTTCGGTTCGTGAGACGGCCCTTAAAGTTCTAACCAGATGGTATTATACCCCGTCAAGACTACATGTACTGTTTCCACAAACGTCCCCTCTATGTTTTCGGGGCTGTGACTGCACGGGTACTTTGGTTCATATATTTTGGGATTGCCCGACCATATCTTTGATCTGGCGTAGGATTTCTGAGGTCGCTGCCTTATTGTCGGGTGCCCCGATACGATTGTCCATGCAGACCTGTTTATTGGGGGCCCATATCCCAGGGGTCTCTGATGCCAATCTGAGATTGATACACACATTATGTATTGCCACTTTATGGTCTATTGCCCTACATTGGAGGTCCAATGTTGTACCCTTGGACTCCGTTTTACACAGAATTGACACTGTAATGCTTATGGAATGCATTCATTATACCCTACTGGATAAGATGCACTTATACGATAAAAAAAATGGGAGTCATGGAGAGATTGCAGACACTTATTACATGCTTAATAACATCCCCAGTAAAAGTTGGCTGGCATGTACTATTGACAGGTGTATCACCTAACCTACTTTGTCGTTTACGTACTTCATGCACTTGTAACTTCCTCTTTTTTTTCTTATCTTCTTTGTTATGTTAATATACCTTTATGTATTGTACTTTTCAAAAGTGCCTTGTTTTTGCTGACAATATCACTTTTAAAGTGTGCTGTTGTTCTACTGTCTACTCATGTACAATAAAATCGTTTGTAAACAAAAATACATAGAAGATTAAAAATGTACAAATAAAGTGAAATAATTCATGTTAAATAATTCATATTAAATATAAATAAAAATAAAAAAAAATGTAATATTGAAAATTAAAATCAATAACCCAAACGTAAATAAATTTTAAATTACACATTTTAAAATCATAAATGTAAAATTAATATTAATAAACCCAATTAATATTTAAACAATAAATCAAAAAACGGACATAAAAGAAATAAGTGAAGGAAATAAGTATTTGATCCCCTGCTGATTTTGAATGTTTGCCCACTCACAAAGAAATGATCAGTCTAAAAATCAAATGGTAGGTGTATTGTAACACTGAAAGACAGAATAGCAAAAATTTAAAAGAAATGCATGTCTAACAAATGATGAACTGATTTGCATGTTCATGAGGGAAATAAGTATTTGATCCCCTTCACAAAAAATGACTTTGCACTTGAGGTCAGACGTTTCCTGTCAACCAGTTCTCCTCTGCATCATTCAGATGTTCAGTGGCAAACTTCAGACAGGCCTGGACATGTGCTTTCTTGAGCAGAGGGACCTTGTGGGCACTGCAGGATTTCAATCCTTGTTGGCGTAGTGTGTCACCAATTATTTTCTTGGTGACTGTGGTCCCAGCTGCCTGGAGATCACTGACAAGATCCTCACGTGTAGTTCTGGGATGATTCCTCACTGTTCTCATGATCATTGACACTCCATGAGGTGAGATCTTGCATGGTACTCCAGACCTAGGGAGATGACAGTTGTTTTGTGTTTCTTCCATTTGCGAATGATTGCATCAACTGCTGTCACCTTCTCACCAAGCTGCTTGGCGATAGTTTTGTAGCCCAGTCCACTTGTATAGGTCTACAATCTTGTCCCTGACATCCTTGGACAGCTCTTTGGTCTTTGCCATGGTGGAGAGTTTGGAATCTGATTGGTTGATTGCTCCTGTGGACAGGTGTCTTTTATACAGGTAAGAAAATGAGATTAGCAGCACTCCCTTTAAGAGACGGCTTCTATTCACAGCTTGTTACCTGTATGGTAGAATGCTGAATGATAGGGGATCAAATACTTATTTCTGTCATTAACATGCAAATCAGTGCATAATTTGTTGGACATGTATTTCTTTTGAATGTTTTGTTGCTATTCTGTCTCTCAGTGTTACAATACACCTACCATTCAATTTTTAGAATGATCATTTCTTTATGAGTGGGCAAACATTCAAAATCAGCAGGGGATCAAATACTTATTTTCTTCGCTGTATAATGATTCCAAAACATAATTCCTCAAAATTTATTTATTTTTATTTAATTATTATTTATATCCTAATCCCAGTTGAGTACCACATTAGCTTTATAATAACTAATTTTATTTCTCAATTAAGTATCACTTATAAAACAATTGATATCAAGTTCCACATTAAGTCCCCATGGTGTTAAAGATTTTAATAAGTATATCCATTTAGTTTCCCTACGTGATAAATCCCTTATTCTATTTGACCCCTCCACTTTGGGGCAACCCAATCCACTCCCCAAAACTTCAATAAAGAGGGGTCTTTTTGGCACAATGGGTCAAATGGGCAAAATGATCAGAAACATTATGGTGGACAAAGCCCTTTCTAATGTTCTTCATATGTTCTGCTATCCTTGTTTTGTTCTTCCTATATAAATCAACCCACATGGACACTGCGTACACCACATGGGTGGTGTCACAAGTAATGAACTCAAGGATTTTAAACTCACGATTCACTGTATTAGATGTGAAACTTTGGAGTTTAGTTATATTATTATTGGTGGTACGGCACGCTTTACACTTTTTTGCATGCATTGAAACCCTTTTTGTGGGGAAACATTAAAGATGTTTTTGGCATGTCTAATATCTTTTTAACCACTTTACTTCGGAAATTCGGTGCTTTCCTATGGATAAAACTGTGTTTTAGATAGAACAGGAGCAAAAGTTTTATCCATCAGCAAAACATGCCAGTGTTGTTGGACAATGGATTCTACCTCCTTATACTGACAATGAAAATCTGAAAGGAAATTCCATTGATGTTTATCCTCCTTTCCACTATTACTTCTTAAACACGACGTTCTAGGAATTTCAAATACATCTGATCAAGGAAAGAGAATAGCCTTTCTGTATAAACCTAGTTTTGATGATATTTGATTGGGATATAAATTCACTGTCTTTAGAGCAGTTCCTCCTTACTCATAAATTGCCCTCGCGGGATGTTCCTAAGCCATGACGTATGATGCCCACTTCTGATTGATAAATAGCTGTTTCTGTCCGTAGGTTTAACCGCCTCCCACCTGCCATATGACATCCTCCCATTCTAACCGCGCAAGCGCAGCTCCGGGAGCATCCAGCGCGGCGATCGGCAGTGCGCTGTGTCCCTTGTTCACAGCAGATCACCGATCAATGGAAAAAGCCAAAGATGTCGGCTCAGTCACGTGATCAGCTGTGTCCAATCACAGCTGATCGCATGTAAATAGGGAAATGCCGGTTATCGGCATTTCTCTTCTCATGAGCTGTCACGCTGACAGCTCGAGAGGAGAGGAGAGCCGGTAATCAGCATCCCTCAGAGGGGACATGTACACTGATCATCAGGGCACTGATTATCAGTGTGCCCTTATGATCTGTGTAGCCCCAGCAGTGCCACCTGTCAGTGTCCATCAGTACCAGCCGTCAGTGCTCATCCATGCCACCTGTCAGTGCCCATCAGTGCCACATCAATGCCACATTTCAGTGCCGACCAGTGCACATCAATGCCACATATCAGTGCCCATCTGAGCTGCCTTTCAGTGTCACCCATCAGTGCCAGTCAGTGCCACCTATCAATGCCAGTCACTGCCACCTATCAGTGCTGCCAATCAGTGCTACCTATCAGTGCCAGTCAGTGCCACCTATCAGTGCTGCCTATCAGTGTGCATCAGTGCCGCCTAACAGTGCCAGTCAGTGCCACCTAACAGTGCCAGTCATTGCCGCCTATCAGTGCCAGTCAGTGCCCCTATCAGTGCCATATATGAGTGCTGCCTTTCAGTGCCCATCAGTGATGCCTGTAAATGCCCATCAGTGCCAACTACCAGTGCCTCCTCATCAGTGCCCATCAGTGCCACCTATCAGTGTCCATCAGTGCCCATCACTGCAGCCTCATTAGCGCACATCAGTGAAGGAGAAAAATCACTTTTTTTTTCAAAATTTTCAGTGGTTTTTGGTTTAAGAAAAAATAAAAAACCCAGAGGTGATTAAATACCACCAAAATAAAGCTCTGTCACAAAAAAAAAATGATACAAATTTCAGATGGGTACAGTGTTGCATGACCGCGCAATTGTCATTCAAAGTGCAACAGTGCTGAAAGCTAGAAATTGGCCTGGGCAGGAAGGGGGTATAAGTGCCCTGTAGGCTAGTGGTTAAAGAATACCTTCGTACCCAATGAATTATTCACTCTCTGTATGATGACATCTAGGAAGTGAATAGAATTATTACTCTATTGGTAATCTAATTTAATAGAGTTATTATTAATATTATTTAACTTGGTCATATACTGATGCAAATTTAATTCAGAGCCTTCCCAAATCAATATTAGGTCATCTTATAGAATATCAATTCAGGTAGATGGTGCTGGAATACAAATCTGTCTTCCCACTCAGCCATGAAAATATTAGCAAGAGTGGGAGCAAATTTTGCTCCCATAGCTACACCACTGGACTGTTTATAAACTTGATTGTTAAACCAAAAATAATTGTGACTTAAACAAAAATCAAGGAAAACTTTATGATTATATGGAAAGTCTTCCCTTTTACTGAGAGCCCAATTCAGGGCTAACATTGCATCGTCATGGTGGAGGATGATATACCACTGTATCACTATGCAACGACCGCTGTTACCAAAAAAAATCTCTTTATCTTTCTTTAATTGTATATTTTCAAGAAGTTGGAGTAAGTCGTGCATCTCAAATACGCTTTAGTTTGAGTGGCACTGGACTGAAGAAATGTATCTAAATATTCTCCCAGTCTTGCTGTAACCGATCCTATTCCATTTACAATGGGACAGCCTGGAGGAATTCTTTATGAATGTTTGGCAAAGTGTAAATTATCGGTATCCTAGAACTACTAGGTACAATATATTTTTTCTCTTTTTTGGTTAGTGCATGGGTAAGATAATCAAACTCAACCAAATGTTTCAGTTCTTGTCTATAACCAAGAGTAGGATCCTTATTGAGACAGACATAAGTAGTATTGTTCGACAGCATACTTTAAAGCTGTTGAGAATAAAATTCTCTGTCCATGACCACCACTCCTCCACCTTTATCAGCTGACCTAATCCTTCCTATTTGATTGTAAGCTCCGAGGAGCAGGGGCCCTCCTATCCCTCTTGTATTGAACTGTATTGTAAAGCGCTGAGCAAACTGTTGGCGCTATATAAATCCTGTATAATAATAATAATTTTCCAAATTCTTAATACCATCAACAATATACAGTGGATTTACTTGGGGGTGAGGAATTATATTTTCCAAATCCCTCAGCACCAATTTTTTTTAAATACATCTACACATTGATTGGCAGCAATAGGTGGGGTTAAAGTGGACTTATTTCGAAGAACACTATTTTTTAAGATTCAGTTGTCATATATTTATGTAAATCTATAAATACATCAATTTACTTATAAGTTTTTTTGGGGCACATTTCAATCCCAAATTGAGAATATTTAGCTCCTGGGGTGTTAAAGTGGTTTTCCTAATGTAGATATCTTCATTACTCAATCCCGCCTTCGTTTTTTTGTGTTGGATTCTTATATCAGCTCTACACCCTCTCTTTCCTCTTCTTTTCCCACATATCCGCCCTTTCCTCTGTCTGTTGGGCGAAACGGGCGGCCTCTCAGTCCTCCCCTCCACCCTCCTCTTCTTAAAAATGCAAGTTTGGGTTATTGATTTTGATTGTCAATATTACATTTTTATTCTATTTTTATTTATATTTAATATGAATTATTGAACATGAATTATTTCACTTTATATGTACATTTTTAATATTCTATATTATTTTTTTATGTATACCCTATGTAGATTGTTATATATGCTTATATGATTACATTTTTATTGGTTATATCATGTTCTGAATATATCTTGTTTTGCCGATAAAAATATATTGCGTTTTGCCCATAGTTATGTTTTTACATTGGGGGGAACTTCTGCCAGGTTCCCATTCCACTTCCTGTTTGGAGGTGAATGTTGAAATCGACCAATTGGAGTTGTTTTTCCTCTGATTGTTGGCTCTATAAAGACTGACATGCCGCACCACACTGTCACCCCTATGAGTAAGTCGGAAGTGACAAAACAAGTCAGGGCGTGAGGGGACGTGGACCGGAAGTGACACGACGGCGTCAGTTACCAAAAATCCGGAGGTGGTAAGAGCACGTACGGTCTAGGACCACTTCAAGCTTATACATGTTCAAAATATTGGTCTTTTTTACACTCGTTTGCTTGTGAGTAATATCCATTCATTAAATAAAAAGGATCTTACTATATATATTTATATGCTATACTATACCATTGGAGTGTTTCTCTGTGTTTGTGTTTTACATGATATACCTCGAGACAGTGGAGTTTCATACTTATACAATTTATAAGCATCGTTTATGATTGGGAAGATTATCCCAGGAAGCCTGTTTGCCAACCACGAGAGTGGAAGGCAATTATCTGTGGTGAGTGCACATCCATGTGGGAGATTTTGTGAAGCACTCGGTTACCAGTAAACAGCACATGGTGAATTTAAAGTAAAAGAGTTCATTTTCATGGACTTTGGATTACTATATATTGTATATTATTTTGTGCACACATTAATTCACAGATGCTAAATTTGTTTGCTTGTTCACATTCATTTTGTGGTATCCACTATATCACTTTATTATTAATTTAGCGCCACTATAACACAATATATGTATTATGTTTTTATCATAAGTAATGACAAATTTATCGCCCAATAGCAGAAATGTAAAAATTGCTCTGGTCCATAGGGGATTAACAGGTGTGAGGAGCGAAATGGTTAGTATGCATAGTATAGACACAGGTTCATTTTAAACAGTGACTTGTGTCACGTAGACACAAGTACAAAAACAGATAGATATAATTTTGCCAATAAAGACACAAAGCCAAAGATAAAGTGCTAACAATAACTACTGTCAGTCATTTTATTCAATGGGGAGTAAATCTGGATAAACAAAGGATATTATAAACATTTTTTCCTGGAAAAAAAACTGAAAAAGCATTTTCTCCATTATACAGTAAGTAATCTCCCTTGCATTTTCATCACTATATAAAGGCATGTTCTTGCTGAATGATATTTTGGCCACTTGATAATATTGTTGATATTACAGAGTGTCATAATTTTAAGACACTTCCTGACAGTAACCTAGTAGAGGCCCCTGTCATTAAAGATTTTTTGGCGATGGTATGATAAACACTGTCTAATGACTCCCACATTAGTTTTTTTTTTCTACTGCACAATATTGTGCTGTAACATCATTGCCTCTTAAAAGGCAAGTGCAAGGCAAGTGCGCTCTATTGATGTGTTGTAGTTGATTATATACAGTTTACAAGCTCTTATGGTATCAAGCTGCTACTACCTTTGGGACAGGTGTAGCCCAGATCCTGAGGAATGAGACTGGAGAAGGACATCTCATCCTTCACCTAGACAGGAACCTACATCTCAGTAAGTTAACATATGACACCCCTGAACAGAAGTGTCTTGTGATCAGGTGAGCTCCATGGAAAATGAATCATTAAGAGCTGCTGTTGGTTATTTTTCTGGACATGACAAATCAAACAGACATGTTTTCAGTTATCATCCAAATCCATATTACGGCTTATCCCATTACCAAATATCCAATATGGCTAATGTTAGTAAAACATCAGTCGCTGCTAAAGTAAACTAAACAGTGCAGCAAATGTTCAAACTTTGTGGCAAACTATTTGATGGAATTCCAATTCACCTAGTGTAATAAGTACAGCTCAGAAACTGCTTGCAGTGCTTTCAGCAATCATAAGTTTAGTGATACAAGCATTTGCAAATCAATGTGGAGAAGTTCAGAAAACATATGCAAATTAGAAAGTTCCAGTAGTCAGAATATGATCTTTTTCTATATAAAACCAACAGTAAAGGCAAATTCCAGGGGTTACACATTTGTTTCCTTTAATATCGAGAAGCTTAGTAGCTCTGTTTAGATATCCTAGAGTGCAACCACTATGTAAAAAAGGAAAAAGTGAACTCTAGTTTATTAGAATACATTAAACCACAGATTCAGTGAAGTCAGATCAACACAAGTCCTATACCTAGGTGTGCAAATGAGGAACACAATTTGAGTGGCTTTATCAAACAACTCCATTAAAAATAATTTCTTAGTAAATCTCATAATGTTAGGAGCCCTCAGTTTGTTAAATATAACAAGTATAAATTATTCCTAATTATTGTGCCAATCCCATTTGGAAAATGACAAGGCTCGAAATTCACTAAGGTGGCAAAGCACCTTAGCAGCAGCAAAGATAAAGCTGCAGCTGCTCCAAAGAATTAGGAGTAGTTGTGAGGAACATTATTTCCCTTCACAATGTAACAAAGAGACAAAACGATCCATCCTGGTAGAAAGTTTCAACAAAGTGCAAAGTACTGGTTTAATTCAGTCACCGACCCAACCTAAAATTCCAACACACACACTGAAATCACCAACCTAACCCAATATTTACCTACATGTAACACGTTAGCAGTGCATCTTTTTACCCGGTTAATGGAGTACCAAAATGAGTAAGCAATATGTTTAAGACTTTTCAGAGATGTCCTCCCTGGGTTGTAAAATTAAAAAATACTAAATTTTAACTTCAAGCTTAACTTTAAATATTCTGAGCAATAATAAAAACAATAGTAAAAAAAATAAAGCAAAGGAAAGGAGCTGGATGGGTCTCAGTTTGAGATAGTAGTTGGCACTAGTTAGTGTTGGGTATCCAAACATCCAGTCTTGAGAAGGAGGGCAGCAGTGACAAGAACCCTGTGATAGAAGACTAGAAGTTGGATTTTGAATGTCCAAATATACAGATGGGGAAGTGCTTGACATGAGACGACCACTGTGCAGCAAGCTGGAAAAACTTAA